AGTCTGTGACCCCTCAAGGGATAGCCAGCAGTTGGATATCCCTTTCACAGTCTGGGACCCCTCACTCCTTACTGTCCACCTGCTCGCTGCTCCTTAGTCCTGCCGTGGAGGCGGGAGAGGCTTCCACCACCACCGCTATACTCCCCAGCCATGAGCCTGGCTTCCTGTGGGAGCGCACTGACCACCAGGGGGCAGTTCCTGTGTTGAATCTGCCCCCTGGTGGTTAGTCCGCTGTTCGGCCAATTTGCATATTAGGGTTTTATTAATATAGGATTCCCTTTAAGAAGGAGTTTGTTTGTAATGGAATTTTAATAACAAAAGGGTTAGTTGGGGGATTAGCAAAGATCAGACAAACTTCAAAGAGAGATCGTCTTTACCATGTGAAATTACACATTCTGTCATCTGGTGTTTTAAGAATATTTTAAGATTAGAGGCCCGATGCACGAAATTTGTGGAAGGGGCTCTGCCCTTACCGCGGCCGTAGCTGCCTCTGCCTCGGCCCCTGCCGCCGTGGCTTCATCTGGAAGGTCACCTGGTCTACTTAGCATATTATGCTTTTATCATTATAGGTGGGACTATTTTCAGCAAAGTGAATATTCTGTTCAAAAAAAAATTTTTTTAATCTCATTCTAAAAATTTTCAGTAGGGGTGTTACCACTTCCAGAGAGCCATTAAGAAATTTGTGGAGTGGCTTTGGCTTTTACAATTATTGGGAGTGAGTATTATTGACACCAATTTTGGATGTGAGCCAGGGATGGTAGGTAGATATTCTCCCCATCTATATAGGTAAAATCCCTCTGAATATGTATACAGATGAAAAGCTGTTTATAATTTTATGAGCCTAGGACCTAAGTTCTTTTTACACAGAAACTCAAAATATTTTGTGCATTTTATTTTTATTAAAGTATTTTTAATAAAATAATATTTAAAATATCTTTAAAAATATTGTGTTTTGCATGGCAAAATGCAGGCTAAATTTTCTCCTAATTTGACTATCTTGTAGATTGAGGGACGATTATATCTTACATTGTTTGGAACTTTACCAAGAGTTTATTTACCATTTAAGAAAATTGGGTCACTGTTACCAGTGTCATTTGTGGTGCTCGAGTCACCAGTTCTGCAGTCAGCATATGTATCTTTAGCATTAATGGTGGTTACAGTGCTTCTACACGGTAGAAGAATCTGAGAATTTACTGTGTTCTAACATGGTTGAGCATTTATTTACATGTTGAAATACAGAGTATATTATTCTAATACAAATTACTTTCCTTTTATATCTTCAGGTGTACGTATGTATGTATGTATCCAAAATGGAATGGAAGGAAGAAATATATAATTTTAAAATTTTTGTGTAGAGAGTTTATATAATCTATGTATTTCATTTCAGTATAGATAAGGGATATTAAATACTTTCTGTAAAAGAGGAATATTG